TAATATAAAAGTAATGAATACTATGTATATAAATGTCAGACAGAACAGGGTTTCAATTGCGTCCAGTGGCCGGTTACCTCTCTTCACGTGACTTTTTGGCTGGACTTGCATTTCGTGTATTTCATTGCACGCAATATATCCGCCACTCCAGCGACCCTTTCTATACTCCCGGTGCGATACAATTAATTGTGAAGCAAACTGAAGAATTGCTAACTAAAGTGTTGATTATCTACAGAACCCGACTGTTGTCATGAATTGTTAGGTCATTGCGCTCTGATGGCTGACCCACATTTCGCACAGTTCTCCCAGGAAATAGGTCTGGCCTCCCTGGGAGCCAATGACGAGGAGGTGGACAAGTTGGCCACCTGTTACTTCTTCTCAGTCGAGTTCGGACTTTGCAAACAAAACAATGAGATGAAGATATATGGCGCCGGACTCTTGTCCAGTGCCGCTGAGCTCCAGGTATTACATACTTTGTCTATCTCTTTATGGTCACAGGTTTGCATTCATTGTCCCCACAATCGGCTTATTATCAAATAAACACATTCCAAGAGATAGTTAATTATGTTATCATTTTGTTAATCATTTTCAGTATAAACAATAATTGTTAGAAAATACTGTACATCTGATCCATTCTCTGATCTCCATTTTATATCCAAGCATCAGATATAAAGATGAATTAATGAGCTTGTTACTATATGTATTATATGTGTGTTTCATATGATGATGACAACAGCACGCCATCTCACCAGCGGCTCATGTGTTGGCTTTTGATCCGTTGATTACTTGTCAACAGATTCCGATGATTACAACTTTCCAAACCCACTATTTCTTTACCGATAGCTTCGATGAGGCGAAGGAACAGATGAGGTAATCATTGCCATTGTAGCCTACATTCACATTACATATTACTGTATATTGTTACAGCACATTTACCTGTAGTATCCGTAGTGTTATATATACTATTAATATATATATTATATAATATATATAGTAATATAACTTATGTGTATTGCTGTATTATTTTTATACTGCCAATTAATGAATGATAAAACCTAACTATTAGTCTAATGTTCATAATTTAATGACTTGTTATGATTGCATTCAAATGACTTCAATAATTGGTGTGTTTAGAGAATTTGCGGCAACTATTAAGAGACCGTTTGGTG